GCCTTGAGCTGGCTAGAGTCTGTTGACTTTAGCTCTCCCGCTGAGACGTTATCTTCTGGACCCAAAGGCTTTATTGACAGAGATGTGTGGTGTGGCCCCATGCAGGGTGTGAACCAGCCTCCTGGAACAGTCACTGTGGGCAGGGAGGAAATGGAGAAGAGAGAAAAACACACAGGTAATCTGGGGCCACTGGATCTTGCTAATCTAGTCATATGCAAAGCATGCATGGGAACTGGTGAGGAAGCTCCCCACTCCAAAAGGCCTGTCCCTGGTCCTTGTTCCTCCCGGGGAAGCTGAGACTGGGGGAGGTGTATGGTAGTCCAGCATGCATCTGCACCCAAGGATGCAGCTGGCCTCTGAGATGGGAGGAACAGGCGAATGCTGAGGTAGGGTGCTCCGGCAGTCCACTGGGCTCAGGGGCACCAGGAATGATAAGAAGTCTCTGAGTTCACCCAGGCCAAAATGAAGAGTGTTTCAAAATGTTTCTGGAAAGCAGCCGGATGGGTGACTCCAGCCCCATCCCAGCTAGAATTCCCTTGGCTCTATGTTCCCTGGACAGGAGGTGGGGGTGGGGGTGATGGTGAGCTTCCTCAGTTCTAGCCAACAGGGACTTTTAAAAAGCAGATAGAGAAACTGGTACACTGAATAATGAGTCTTCATACTTCACCAGCTAGAATAGAATTGGCATCCAAAGCTTTGTTGGGGCCTCGTGGATTGGCGTATACTTCTCTGCCTTTTAAATTTTGGCCATGTGTATATAAAGTGTATTTAGGATGACATAAGCAGAAGCTTGAAACAGCTTGCAGGGTTAGGCTGTGATTTCTTTCACTCTTGCGATATCTTGAGATGAACAGATCTTGGATAGCTGTCGCTCTTTCAACCTGGACCTTGGAACATACAGAGAAGAAATCTGAGCTGTCTCCAGACTGGAACAGAGCTTCCCAGTGAAGCCCAGTCCAGATCAGCTGAATCACAGCTGATCCAAAGACCTACTGTCTTACAAGAATAAATGCTTCTTGGCATAAACCACTGAGACTTGGGTTGGTTTGTTACCAAGCATTAATTCTAACAATAGCCGACTGATAACAGTATTAAAACCCCCAAACAGTGCATGAGTAAAAAGAATGTCTTACTACAAAGAAATCTACACTACAGAGAAATGCTCAATATCTTTTTTTATAGATTTATTTTTTAGTTGTAGTTGGACACAACACCTTTATTCTGTTTTTATGTGATGCTGAGGATGGAGGCCTTGCACGTGCTAGACAAGCGTTCTACCWCTGAGCCACACCCCAGTCCATCAATCTCTTCTTGCTGCCTGTTGAAAGGCATCTTAGAGTTGGTCATATATGAAAAATGGGCCTACCACTTGCAAACATGACAGAGCAACAGGGACCTGATTTACTCTCCTGCTTTAAATGACTAAAATCTGCACGACACACATAGAACAATGGTTCTTAGACACTGGATAGTAGGCAGTACAGGACGTGGACCCCAAGAGAAGGGCTGCCTACAGGCTGCGGCTCCAGGGGGAAAGCTAGGAAAAGCCTAGGAGTTTGCTTGAGTCAAGGAAATGGAACTAGGAGTCCAGGGAGACTGGAGTAGCCTAAATTTGCAAGTACTCAGAGGTGAAGAAGAAAAAGAGCACGTGCTCTGGAGACCATCAGAGGGTCACTCTTGGGTCCCCAACTAACTACAAATCTACGTGTGCATGTGAGGAAGTCACCCAAGGAGGGGGAAAAAAACACCAGAAAGGAGCAGGCAGAATAATTTCCAGAAATAACAAGGGTCTAGGAATAGTTCATGTTCCTAATAGCCAGGGTGGAGAAACCTCTCGAGAGTTAGTGAACAGGGACACAGAAGTGAATTGCCTTGGAAGTGGAACCAAATAAACCATAGACAGAATATGACTCTGGTCACCTAACGAAACCTGAAAAGGGTCACATTGTCTCCAGAAATGTTCTAAGTAACTTCAATGAGCCCCCAAAACAATGCTCAAAAATATTTAAAGGTTTTTTTTAAAACCTAGCATCCAACCATGTAGAAGTTGTCACAATGTCTGGAATCGAGCAAAAATTACTAGACGTGCATAGATGGAAGAAAACATGGCCTTTATTGAAGATTAAAAACAATCAGTAGAAAAAGAAACCGACCCCAGGAAGGACACAGATGATAGACTAAGTGGAAAGGAACATTTTACAGTGCAGTGGGTACCTGTGTACATACAGGCAGAGGGAGACCCCTCGAGGCTCCTTACAGTGCGCTTTCATCCAGTCGCCCCTTCCACAAGGATGGACCGCCACCATGCTGAGTTCTGAGGAGTCAGAGGTGACCAAGACAAGAGAATGGGCCAGCCTTCACCTTCTAACTAGGGAGATGGGCATGAATAAACAAGAGAATCTGAGTGGGACGAGATGGGCCTGGGCCTGCTGTCAGCAGGTAAGAACGTAAGAGCGGGGACAGGGCATGGGAAGGCAGGCAGAGGAGGAAGCCCGAGGACCAGGGGTAGGTGTTCTGTGACATGAGAAGCACAGGACACGAGGCATGGCAAAGGGGATCTGTGGGGACTTGGGCCACATGAGAATGTGGAGTGAGAGAGGTTCCGTGTGTCCAGGGCTGTCGGGGCCCTGAGGCGTGGTGGTGCAGAGAGGCTGGCTGTGGATGGTGGGAGCAGAAAACGTACAGGGAGAACTTGGAGGGCAGCAGGGTTTCCTTTAATGCAGCTCCGCCTGCTGCATGGAGAGTGGCCTCTGGGTGTGGCCCTGAGTGACCCTGGAAGCCTGGGAAGAGGAAGCCGCCCTCTCTTGAGTGAACTGCTGTCTTTCGGGATCCCATGGCCCCTTGCCAACCAGTAGGGTGAGCCACGGAGGGGACTCGGCAAAGAGCAGGCAGCAGGGAGGCTCTGACCCCTGGTTTAACTGACCCCTTGTCTCGAGAGGCAGCCCTTCCCCAGGCCAGCCTGTTCCTTCTCTGGCTCCAGGGATATTGTGGGATGTTGTCATCTTTTCTCCAAAACAATCTCCTGGGTTTGTGTTTTCCATCACTGTCCTTAGACTACAGCAAGAGGGTCTCCTGCCCTTGGCCCCCTACCTTAGGGTACCTGCCCTGTGAGTGCTTTGCTGGAAACTACCGAAGTCTCCCTCCACACCAGGACCAGGTGTGGTCAATGCCGTCATCCATCCAGACAGCTCCTAGCAGCCGGCACAGCAGAGCACGCCTGTAACCCCAGCAGCTGGGGGCGCTGAGGCAGGAAGATGGCAAGTTCGAGACCAGCCTCAGCAACTTACAGAGGCCCCCGAGGACTTAGTGAGACCCTGTCTCAAAATAAAACATTAAAAAAATGTTTATATAGATGGAGTGCCACAAAAACTATTTGCCAGGTCCCAAGACCCACTCGTGCCTGAGAGTGACCTCCACCCTGTCCCTGCCCTTCAGTGGGTCAGCTCGTTATCCCTCCCAGGCCCTGGGGAGGCCCTGCTTCTCCCAGGGACCGAGAGGAAGTCTGTCTTGTCCTCACCCCTCATCCACATCTGGTCCACATTCTCCCGGGCTCTGGCTGCCTCAGTCCAGGGCCTCTTGTGGCTCTGGGTTCTTCCACAGTCTGAAGAGGTGAGAGGATGCAGGGGACTCAGTGCTGTGGGCTTCCAGTGCCACCCTGAGAGAGGGGGCTGGCCTTCCCACTCTGGTCTGTCGACTGTGCCTGGACAAACTGGCCAGCCCTCCTTCAAGGTTCACAAAGGAACCATATCCCTGCAGGAGTTGCAAACCAAGTGACCGAGAAAAGGGGTGGAACACTAGGAGTGAGTGACAGTCAGGGCCCTGCCCACGTCCCCATCCTCCCGAGGCCTGTGCAGCTCCAGCGGTCAGTGCCCAGCTGCACCCATGGCCTCCTGCCCCGAGCAACCGCTCTTCACCTGGAGGCTCCCTCTTGGGCTGCAGAACAGGAGTTGGCTCCTCAGAACAAACCTCACCAGGGAGGATGAGCACCCCAGCCTCCGCGGCCCCTCTGTGGGCCACCCTGGGGTGTGCTCTGCCCAGTCTCCCTGGCATCCCAGTGGGTGGAGCCCCAGAGCCACGGCAGTCACCTGTCCCTAACACACCCATTCAGCCATGGTCCCTTCCCCATCCCACTACCCTGCCGGGCTTCTGAGATCACTTCCCAGCTCAACACACCCACGCCGTGTCTCAGGATCTGCTCGGAGGAAGCCAAAGATAGGCCACGGCACCCGTTTCAGAATCCTGGGTGTGGGGCTCTCAGAATCAAGGTCTTGGGAGGGAGAAAATGGGAGCCCCCCCATTCACCCAGAGTCCCCTCTTAACTACTTGAAACTGAGGCTCAGGGAAAGGAATCTTGTCCCTTAAAAAAAAAAAAAAAAAACACTGGCAATCACTGAACAAGATCAATAAYAGGTGTGTTTGCTCGTTCGACTGGATGCTTTCCCTTGAATCAGCCCCAGCTTCCACGTCATGCTGATGGTCAGGGAGTGAGCTGGACCTCTTCTGAGATTCTTCTCTCTGGTTTCCAGGGCAGAAAGAGACCCATGCAAAGCGGCACCACCCCTGTCTCCACTAGGATGCGCCCCTATGCCTTTGCCCCAGGGACCTCCAGGCGCCCCAGCACCCTCGACTAGCACCTRCTGCTTGGTGCTAAGAGGTGGGATGAGGTGGGCTGTTAGGGAGGCAGGATCGATCGGAAACCAAGGGCTCCTCCTCTCACCTGCCCTTTCCCCTACAAGGCACGCACCTGGGGCCTGTGGTTCCGTTTTAGAAAGTGTTCTTTCRCATCTGTGTGGATGTCTGTGGTGTGACTCTGTAAGTGAATACCTATGTCCGATGGCAGGGGTGGGGGGGCAGCTGGTCCTCTCCCTTATCTCAGGGCTCATTCAGATGGAAGGAGGCCTGGGCCAGGCCTCTCTATTTACTCTCATTCTCTGCCCATTGTACATGGAATTGATCTGGGGGTTCTGTTTTTCTCCCTTTTCCTCCAATCTCCCTATTAGTTCAGCCTCAGGTAGCCCCTTATCACCTCCGGATGTCAGACGGCACTCAGCCATCAGCCTGCTGGGCCAGGTGAGATTCTCCATTAATTGATTTTGCCCTCCCCTCCTGGGAAGCTCAGATGGTCTCTGCCCATTAGCAGCAATAATTCCCTGAAAGGAACCATAAATCATGTCCTTGTCCATCCCTTGCCCAGCAGAGGGTGCCCACGTAGGGAGGTGTTGGGCAGCAAGGGCCTTGTAGTCTGTGGGGTCGCTCCTCCTAAACCCAATGACAGGTCCCAGCACACAGAGGACCCTCTAGTAGCRTGCACAGCCTGAGTACAGGAAAGGAGCCAGGGAGGGCGGCAGGAGGAGGGCTCCGGTGGTGCAGAGAGCTCCGAGGACCTCGGGAGTCAGCATCTCCCTCTGATTCCCCCGTTGGGTTCCACTGTTTGTGGCCTTAGARGTTTGGAAGTCCTGCCCATTGAACTGGACATGCCTCTGCAAAGACTCTRTCCTAAATCCCGGTCAGGCAAAGGCTTGAGGGGCTTTGCTTTGGGTGGTTGGTGAAACCCTGAGTGTCAGAGGAAGATGTGAGAAGAGAGTAGACAGGCAGGAGACCAGAAGGGCACAGGAGGGCCACCAGGGAAAGCAGGAGGCCACCATTCTGACCTACTCTGCAGGAGTGTGTGGCTTTGCCACAGCCAGYGCCGGAGGTTATGGAGAGATGGTCCACAATGAGCGCAGTGTTCTGCCCACAGTGAACCTGGCACCACTTCCTGCCCAGGACCTGAGGGAGGGAGGGACCCCAGGACAGAGGCTTCAGTCCTACCCCTACCCCAACCTGTCACAGGCACCTTCTGACCACAGCCTCACCCTGTGTCCCATGCAGGCAGACCCCCCCCCCTTTCCCTTCATCTCTTCCCCTAGGACAACCATCACTACCAGACTGAGGCCAGACCCACCWCGGATACTAGGAGCCAAAGAGATTGCTCTGTCCCACCCGGGGGTCCTCAGGCATCAGCGGATGGACATTCTAGATGCCCATGAGAGGACTCTGCACATATTTGCTTCTCCAGAGCAGTCGAAGAGGGTTTGATGGTCACCGGCCTTTCAGGAACAATGCCTTGGAGAAAGCCAGGAACTGGCGAGTCTGTGGTACAGGGTGCTGTTGCCCTTGACTCTCCAAAAACACAAGGAGAAACCATGACAGCCACATGCCAGCAAGGAGCACTGGGGGCACTGYGAGGTGGGGCCTGTCCAGGACAACTTCAGAGGATCCACACAGCCTCAGGAGTTCAGAGTCAGAAGGACTCCCGAGAAGATGGGCTTGGGTCACATCACCTCCCATCAGGGCCACACCTAAGTCACAGGATGGAAAAGCCGCAGATACTGTGGCTTTCCTCAGCACTTATTACAGCATCAGGATGTTCTGTGTGTGTGTGTGTGTGCGTGTGTGTGTGTGTGTGTCTGTGTGTGTGTTACTAGGGATTGAACCTGGGGGTGCTCTACTACTGAGCTACATGAACAGCCCTTTTTATTTTTTGAGACTCTCTAAATTGCTAAGACTGGTCTTGAACTTGTAGTCCTCTTGCCTCAGCCTCCGGAGTCTGGCATCACAGGTGTGCACCCACCACCAGACCTGGCTGGGACGTTTAGAGCACGAGAGCTATACTTAACAGTTGGGTTCATTTGGACAAAATCATACATGCATGGAATTTGAGTGACTCCATTTCAGTCCCTGATCCTCCCCCTTTCCCTCCCCTCCTTCCTCCCCCTTCACTCTACTGATCTTCCTTTGGCTTGTTTATTTATTTGTTTTTGATTGGTGCTTTCTGCCCCACAGAGTAAAATTCCCTGTGGGTGTTTATATATGCACATAACATGATTTTGTTCAATYCATTCTGCATCTCCTCTCCTTTCCCATCCCCCTCCTCCCAAACTCCTTCTTCCACTCCACTGATCTTCCCTATTTATTTCTGTCATCCAGTCTCCTTCTTTCCCTTATTCTGCTCCAGCTTCCACATAAAAGAGAAAACATTCAACCCTTGGTTTTCTGAGTCTGGCTTATTTCCCTTAGCATGATGTTCTCCCTCTCCATCCATTTACTGGCAAATGAAATTATTTCATTCTCCTTTATGGCTGAGCAAAACTCCATTGTGATTACACACCACATTTTCTTAATCCTTTCATCTATTGGTGGACATCTGGGCTGATTCCATAATTTTAGCTGGATATTCTTAGGATGCAGTCTGCCTGCCCCTGCCTCGCCTCTCCCTGTGAGTTGGTGGTGGAGTGTTTTGTTTTAGGTCTTGGAGTAGAGGGAACCTGTCATTCACCTACATGAACATAATACTCCCCCCCGCCCATGTTTATTTTCTATCCGGCGTCTTTCACACACATCTCATACTTTCTCCCTCCCTCCCCGCCCCTCTCCCTCCCCTTATTACAGAACAGTCACTGCTTGTCCTGATCAGACCAGCCATGGTGTCCGCCCCTTCCAAGTAATGCCCATACAAGTGGCACCCCTGTCCCCTTGGCAAAAGGTGGCACTTGACCCTTTCTTGGCCCACCAGACACCAGCAAAGTGCCAACCGCGAAAATGTTCTCACCGACACCGAGCCCCTCCACGTGGGAGGAAACATCAACAGAAAAAAGCAGAGGGCCGTGATCCGATACCACGGGGAGGGCCTGGAGGTGAGCCCMGAGGCAGAGAAATGGCAGGCAGAGCCAAGACGGGGACAAGTGGGGAGAGTGGACAGTCGGGCCAGGGTGGGAGCTAGGTTGCTCCAGGACCCAGGGTTCCTACGACAGAGGCTCCCAATCACTTGAGATAACTGGAGTGTGCTCCTGTCCTTCCAGCTCTAATAAGCCTTGAGCATATTGTTTTTCTTTAAATTATGTCTTTTRGTCAGCTTTTCTGCTGCTGTGACCAAAAGACCTGACAAGAACAATAAGAGGAGGAAAAGTTCAGYTCATAGATGACAATTCCATTGCTCCAGGCCCAAAGCAAGAGAGAACATCATGGCRGCAGTGTGTGGTGGAGGGAAGTGGCGCAGGACGTCACACCAGGAAGCAGAGAGACAGACTCTCTCACCATGTACAGAATACAAGCCACGAGGGCACATCCCAGTGACCCACCACGCCCCCAAGCTCAGCCTCCCTGCCTACAGTCACCTCCCACTTCTCCATCAGGGGATTGATGCCCTGGTTAGGTTAAGGCTCTCACACCCCAATTGTTCCACCTCTAAACTGTCTCACATTGGGTCACACATGAGCTTTGGGGGGACACCTCACATCTCAACCATAACATCATGTAACCATTGAGAGGTAACAGGATACCTACAGTGGCTCAAATGAATAGTTTGTTTCTAACAAAGAAAAAAAATCCAGAGATTGGAGCATGCGGCATCAGTCGGGCATCTCGGGGCCTGGGACTGTGGCTCAGTGGTAGACCACTTGCCTAGCATGTGTGAGGCCCTGGTTTCCTTCGTCAGCACCACACACACAAAATAGATAAAAAATAAAGTTATAAAATACAAAAATCAAAAAAGAAAAAGAAAGGAAGAAAAATCTGAGCCTCTCAGCCACCCCTGGACCTTTTTGGCTCATGAGTCCAAGGCGGCCCAGTGGCTCCAGTGGTCTGTGCAGACTGAACAGAGAGGGAGAAGGGTGTGGTCAGCTGCAGCTCCACCCTCTGCAGGCAGAACAAATTTGCCTCCACAGCGCACTGCCTACTGTGGCCAGAGCTGGTCACGTGGCAACCCCCAGCTGCAAGGAAGCTTGGAAAGTGGGGCGGGGGACACTGGCAACCCTCAGACCTTCCTTTTTTCTTCCAATGGCCCAGCTACACCTGGGGCTCCCCTTGGGACTAACAGGGACACTTACCTACCAGAGTCCCCYGAGAACCAGGCTAAGGCTGGGCCTGTGCTGCCTGGCCCAGCTCTCTCCCTGCCCCGCTCTGCTGCTCACCCCTGTGAGTCCTCGCTCACTCCACTACCTGTGCACATGCCCCCCTTCAGGAGCTGCTCCTGGGGAACCCAGCCTAAGAGGGTCATGATGGCCTACACCAATCGCCAATCGAGCCTTATGGGGAGGGTGGGGGCGTCCAGCGCTGGGATCTGACAGCCAGGAAGATGGAAAAGGATATTTGGTGGACAACTCACCATGCCTGCCTCTGCAGCTCACTAAAAGAAACAGAAAATAGAAGCAGAGAAATCAGAAACTCAGCACACTGCTAGTGGGAGTGTCAAATGGCACAGCCACTTTGGATAACCGTCTGGAAGTGCTTCAAAAAATCCAACAGAGTGGTACACACAGAGGAGAGAGACAATGCTGCAGCCCCACCCCCAACCCATCTACCAACATGTGGCTCCCCCAGCCCACATCCATCTTGGAACACTGCAGTCACCTCCATAGCGCCCCACACATATGGTCACCTCCACCTTGGGACAACGGACAGGGCCTGGAGGCAGCAGCCCCCCGCAGCACTGCACACCACAGTGCTACATCTCCAAACAGGCTGCCCAGTACCACCGCACAGCCTGCCCTCTCAGCCCCATCTCTGAAAGCAGTCACCATCTTGGGTCACCTCCACTGCCACCACCATCATCTTAAGTTGGGGCAGTTTCCATTTTAGGACACCAGATAGGCCCCGGAAGCCACATCAAGGTACCTACAAGTTTGATGCTGCCACCGCCACCAACTAGAGACATGGCTGCTTCCATCTAGACACAACAGCCAGGATCTGGAAGACCATCACCACRGTCCCTGCAGGCTTGGTGACACCAGAGGTGTCCCTGCTAGCCAACTTGTCTTGATTCCTCTTTCACTCTTCCTATGATCTAATACCTCTATATTCTCACCTCCTACCTCATAAACACCACATCCCACACACACCCCTTTCTAATGTCCACCATTAGAAACTGTAGACCCTTTGATGAAGCTACTGTTTATATTGTAGATATCAACCAACATATCATTTCTGTTCATTGCAGCAAAACTGTAGTTGTCTAAATAGGAGCTATTTGGTTTAAGGCTGCATATTGTTTGCATTAGGTGCTGTTAATTGATTTTCCCCTTAAAGGAGAGGTATTGGAACCCTGAAGGGACACTATAAATAAGTTTATAGGGTAGAAACTCTAACACCTTSGATCCTCACGGCAAGAGAGGAAGACACACGAGCAACATGAAAAAACAAGGGAGGAAAATGTCTCAAACAAACCAAGATGCTACAATAATAGAATCCATTGCAGAAGAGATGTCAGAGAAGGAGCTCAGAATGCACATAATTAAAATGATCTGTGAAGTAAAGAATGACGTAAGAGCAAATATAGGCCAAAAAATGATCACTCCAACAAAGAGATAAGAGATGAAATACAGGCAACAAAAGATTACTTCAACRAAGAGATATTTTGGGGGTGAGGGGCATGGGGACCTGAAATCTTTGAAGMAAAGAAAACAATAAACCAAATTAATAATTCAATAGAAAGTACCACCAACAGACTTGATAACTTGGAAGACAAAACCTCATGCAATGAAGACAAAATATATAATCTTGAAAATAAAGTGACCACACAGTGAAGATGGTGAGAAACCATGAGCAGAATCTCCAAAAATTATGGGACAACATGAAAAGACCAAATTTAAGATTTATTGAGATAGAGGAAGGCACAGAGATACAAACCAAAGGAATGCACAATCTTTTTTTTAATRTGTTTTTAATTGTGGAGAGACACAATATTTTTATTTTTATATGGTGCTCAGGATCAAACCCAGTACCTCACACATGCTAGGCAAACACTGTAACACTGAGCCACAACCCCCACCCCAATGCACAATCTTTTAAATGAAATAATATCAGAAAATTTCCCAAACCTGAGGAATGAATAGGAAATATAAGAGATTACAGGACACCAAATGTACAAAATTACAACAGATCCACATCAAGGCACATTATAATTAAAATGCCTAGCATACAGAATAAGGAGAGAATTTTAAAAGCCACAAGAGAAAAGTTTCAGATTACATATGGGGGGAAACCAATTCAGATCTCCCCAGATTTCTCAACCCAGACCCTCAAAGCTAGAAGGTCCTGGAATAACATATACCAAGCTCTGAAAGAAAATGGACGCCAACCCCAAATCTTGTATCCAGCAAAATTAAGCTTCAGATTTGGTGACAAAATAAAAACCTTCCATGATAAACAAAAGTAAAAAAAAAAAAATTACAACAAGAAAGCCTACCTACATAACATTCTTGGCAAAATATTCCTTGAAGAGGAAATGAAAAACAACAATGAAAACCTGCAAAGGAGGAATTACACTAAATGAAAAGCCAATCAAAGGAGAAACCAAGTCAAGTTAAAAACCAAAAATAAACCATATTTCAATAATAATCCTGAATGTTAATGGCCTAAACTCATCAATCAAAAGACACAGACTGGCAGATTGGATTAAACAAAAAAAAAAAAGACCCAACAATATGCTGTCTCTGAGAGACTCACTTCATAGGCAAAGACATCCTCAAACTGAAGGAGAAAGGATGAGAAAAACACCTCTCACGTGGATCATGGATCATGCACACAAGCAGGGGTTTCTATCCTCATATCAGATAAAGTGGACTTAAAGCCAAAGTTAATCAGAAGAGATGAAGAAGGCCATTTAATACTGCTTAAGGGAATTATTCATCAACMAGACATAACAACCATTAATATTTATGCCCCAAACAATGGAGCATCTACATACATCAGACAAACCCTGCTCAATCTCAAGAATCAAATAAACCACAACACAATAATACTGGGTAATATGCCTCTGTCTCCACTGGATAGATCCTCCAAACAAAACGTAAATAAAGAAGATACAGAAATAAAAATTACAATTGATAATTTAGACTTAACAGACATATATAGAATATTTCATCCATCAATAGCTGAATATACTTTCTTCTCACTAGCACACAGATCCTTCTCTAATATAAACGGTGTTACGTAAGCTATCACATACGTTGGCATACAATTGTAGTCTACTATTTAATACTACTTTAACATAGTTTTAGCATCTGAAGGTTATTTTGATAGCTCYCTTTCCATTGATATTAATTTTTGTGTTCCTCCTTTTTTCTTAATTAGACTCATTTGATTTATTAAATTATAGCTGTATTATTTCTTCTCTATGTCAAATATTTCTGTTCCTCTTCTTATTTTTTCCTTCCTACTACATAATTTGAAAATAATTTGAATGCTATTCTAGCTTTTTTCTGCTACAACTACTTTAAGWTACAAATGTTCATCTGAGACACTTTCATCCCAGAGATCCTGATATTTTAAGCTTTTATTATCACTTAGTTCAAAGCACTTTTTATTTACTTTTCTTGTGCTTTCTTCCTTGACCACTGAGATATTTTTAAGTGCATCATTTAATTTTGAAGTAGTTGACAAGTGGGGGTGGGGCTCTGTATATCTTAAGGTGATTGATTTCTAATGTAATAAACCATGCAGGAAACACAGTCTGTATGATTTCAAATTAGAAAAGTAATGGAAATGCTTTTTATATTGATTGTATTGGTTATATACATGTCAAAACTGATCAAATTGGGGAGGGGGCATGGGGGTAGGAATGATAGTAGAATGAATTGGATATTATTGTCCTCTGTGCATATATGATCACATGACCTGTATAACCCTACATCAYGTACAACCAGACAAATGAGAAGTATTGTCATTTATTTATGTATGATGTGTCAAATGCATTCTATTGTCATGTATAACTAATTAGAACAAATAAAAAAATATGAAAAAATTCAACTCAGAGTGACCATATACCCTTACTTCTAGACATATACCTGGGAGAAATAAAAACATGTATCCACATAAAAACTCATATGCAAATGTTCACATCAGCATTACTTATAGTAGTAGAAAGTAAGAACCACACAAATATCCATCTAGAGGATATCCAATGGAGAAACAAAATATGGTATATCCATACTGTGAAATATTGTTCAGCTATGAAAAGGAAGGAAATATTGACACATACACAATGTGAATGAACCTTCAAAACATATACAGTGAAAGAAGCCAGACACAAAGTGCCCTGTAATATATGATTCCATTTAAATGAAATGTCCAAAATAGAGAAACGCATAAAGACTGCAGATTAGTGGTTGCCAGAGGCCAGGGTGTCAGACATAGGTACTCAAGGGGTCATAGCTAAAGAGTGGGGGAGTTTCTCTTTGAAGTCATAAAACGTTGGTTGTAGAGATGGTTGCACAGCTCTGTGACTAAACTACAAACCCCTGCGCTGTGTACTCTACATGGGTGAATGGTACAGTGTGTGAATGAGATCTCCATCCAGCTGTCACATACACAGGAGCAGGGAAGATAAAGCATGGACAGCAAGCAGCTCCATCCCACCCCTGCAGAGAGCTGCGGGTAGCGCCCCAGGGCTGGGATGTACTTTTAGATTCGTTTTTGTTCACCCTCAGGTCCCACCAGCACCATGTCCTCTGCAGGTGGCCTGCTTAAGGGTCCCAAGCAAGACAAATTGTCAGCAAAGGTGATAAAGCCTGTACCGCTGGGTCATTGGCAGCCCCAACACTCTCCAGCGAGGCTGTCCTTTGCCTATTTACTTGATCCTGATTTGTCACCCAGTTCGCTCTTCCTGGGGCTCCCCCAATAGCAGGTCAATAGTCCTAACCCCATTTTGGAGCCAAGGCAACCGAGTGGAAGGTCAGCCCACACCCATTCTGGTGTCCCCCAGCTCCTAGTCTTGGGTGCTGGGGGCCTTCCTGAGGGATGAAGCTGCTGGGAGAGCCCACCAGGGCCTGGCCAGGGGGGGCACGCCAATCGGGTCCAGCCCAGAAGCACCCATCCACGCGGAGGCGGAGGGCGAGCCTCGAGGACCCCAGGAGAACCGGTAAGTCTCTCTGAGGGGTCCACCCCGTGGACGTGCTGCTGTCCCTGGAGAGCGACGGGCGGGGGCTGCGGGCCTGTTTGCACTGAGCGCTCTGTTCAAACACGACTCCCGCCTGCGGACACCTGTGCCGGGGGGAGGGCGGAGGGGCGGGAGCCCGCGCAGTCCCTGGTGCAGGTCCCCGGTGCTCACTCCTCGCCTGCTTCCCGCTTCTCTGACTGGAGCCAGCCCCCGGTCCTGGTGGGGTCCTGGCCACGCCATGCCCTGTGCTAGGCTGGCCAGCTGCTGGGGCGGCCGGGTGCTGCCCCTGCTGCTGGCCTACGTCTGCTACCTTCTGCTCGGTGCCACTGTCTTCCAGCTGCTGGAGAAGCAGGCGGAAGCTCAGTCCAGGGACCAGTTCCAGGTTGAGAAGCTGCGCTTCCTGGAGAACTACACCTGCCTGGACCAGAGGGCCCTGGAGCAGTTTGTGCAGGTGAGGGGGAATGGGAGGAAGGAGACGAGGGGTGGGCAGAACSGTCTCCTGTGGCAGGTCCAGGGCAGTCACCCAGGGGATCATGTCCCATTTGGAAGCAGAGATTAATGGGAACATCAGAGGTAGGATATGGTCCCGGATTGCGGTCCCAGGTCCAAAACAGGMTTACTGTGTGACCTTGAGAGAGTCATTTAATGTCTCTGGACCCAAATGTCTTCACCTATAAGGTGACAAGAAGCAGCAGATCTGTTCTGCAGACATTTGACAGCAGGTTAAAAGCACTCTCTCAGCTGCCACCTGCTGCACAGATAGGAACTGAGTGCTAGTGTCATCAAATCTTCTTCTCCCTCATTTCCACACTTCCCCCACCCCCTTCTGGCTCAGGTCCCTGGGAGGAGACACAGATAACCATCTGACCTTCCCCAGACTCTTCCCCCCACCCCCCAGCCGGGCTTGGCAGGCAGTGGCCAGGGTTGCTGAGCTCTGCCAGTGCTGTGCCCACGAGGGGCTCTCTCTGGTGCCGAGGGGGCCCCCCCCTGCCTGGGGCCCCTTCTGCCACCCTCTCCCAGAAACGGCAAAAGCAGGTGTTGTGGGTGAAAGCTTTGAGAGCAGGAGGTGCAGGGGGTGGCCACACCTACTGCAAAGAACAGACCAGGTGCAGCGTCACCAAATGATAACCGACATTTATTGAGCATTTACAATGTGTCTGGAGTGGGAGGAGCAGGGCTCCGGCCAATCACAACCCACCACCCCCAGAGCTGGCCTCTTGTCATTGCTGCTGCTATGACTRTCTCAAGCTCATAGTGTGGTGACTGAAGCGCAGAGAGGTGGCACGTGCTGACCCAGGCTGCAGTTACTGGTAGACACAGAGCCCACATTCAGAGAGGGGCCTTTGTCCTTCAGCCCAGAGTGGCGGTTCTCAAAGTGCGGTCTCTGGACCAGCAGCAGCAGCAGCAGCAGCACCTGGGAGTGTGTGAGAAATGCTGCCCAGACCTGCAGGAGCTCCAGGGTGGGGCCGCAGGTGGTGTTAAGCAGTCCATCTGGTGGTACCGAGGCCTCCCTCAGGACTGAGGATGGCTGGCCGACAAGAGGATTCACTGCCTGGGAGAACTTGGTGGAGTTGCGAGACACCCAGCTCTTCCAGGAGACCCACATCAGAGGACAGTAAGGTTCGGGAGGTTCCCAATACCCAGGGCACAAGGCAGAGCCCTGGAGACCCAGAAACCTCCTCCTCTCTCAGCCCCAGGCCAGAGTGAGCCCAGGAGCTGGGCAGAGGGCCGGATGGGTGGCTGGGCTCTGACACTCTGTAAATAAGGAGGAAGGCCCTAGGTCTGACTGCAGCTGGACAGGGTACCACCGATTAGCCCCCAGGGCCTCCCCAGGGAAGACAGGACATCACTGTTCATGAGAGTCCTGAGCCTCGGGAGRGACCCTTACCAGAGGAAGTTGAGCAGGGAAGGGGAATGCAGGGGTAAGATTCTGGGAGATCAGGAGTCACTGCTGAACTCTGCCACACGCCAGGGACAGAATTTACTGCAGTATTAAAAAGTGACTCCAGGTATGGGGTGCACACCTGTGATCCCAGCTACTCAGGAGGCTGAAGAGGAGGATCCGAAGTTTGAGGTCAGCCTGGGCAACAGTGAGATCCTGTCTCCAAATAAAAAGTTTTTTAAAAGGGCTGGGAATATAGCTTCATGGAAGAACACCTCTGGATTCCATCCAAGTACCATGAAAAGAAAGAAAAWAWAWAWATATATATATATATATATATATATGTACATCATAAGGAACAAGCCTGCCCTGATCCCAGAATTAGTGAATCTGCCTGTCTCCATCACCTGTGGATTCTTAGAGAAGAAAATGCCACCCACCCACACTACTCAGAACCCTCAGGGAGGTCAGGGCCCCCCTCGGGGGTGTGGAGGGCCCTGGTTGCAGAGAGGACAACCCAGGACTAGGGCAAGTGCTGCCTGCAGGGGTTTGGGTCTCTGGGGAGGGGCCGTGTCCAGGAACGTTTGGCCCTGGCCTCTCTGGGCATGTGGGAAAGAGAGGGAAGCCAAAGTCCACATCTTCAGTGGCCAGCTCCTGCCAAAATGAGAAGAAGCAGACCGCCTGCTGCTGAGGACGTCCACCCTGGCCCACCCCACCAGGGACACCCCCACCCTGGCCCAAGCATGCCCACCCAGCCAGTGGGAAGTGGTTCCCACAGGAACGAGAGGCCAGAGCTCCCCTGCTCCTCCACAGTGGCGCCACCCTGACTGGGGGACTCTACCTGGCGTCAAGGCTGAGCTGCCCTGGGACGATTCACAGGGGCTGGAGGCAGCGGAGGAGGGCGATCTCCCCATTCTCCAAGAGGACTGGCCAGGGGTGGAGGAGCTTAGCTGGAGCTGGGTCTAGTTTTGGTTCTAGAAACCACACACACACACACACACACACACACACACACACAACATGTACACACGTGCGACATGCAGTACCTACGCAGACGATGCACCACACAGCTCCTTCCTGCCGGCCTCTGGTGGAATCTCTGTGTCACCAGAGGGTCACCAGAGCAAAGCCACCAGCTCCCCTGAAAGCTCAGAGAACAGAGCTTTTTTTGTCCCACCCTGCCCCCAAGCCCTAGGGCTTTCTTATGGTCCCCAGCAAATCCTTCCAGAAACACCCACCTGAACCCATCCTTAAGCACTTGGACTTGGGGTCCAGCGACCTTGGGCATCGCAGCCACTCTGAGCCTACCTTCCCTTTTCTGTGAAGTCGGAACAACGCCATCTAAGGACATCATTAAATGAGACAATGGGGAAGCACCCTGCGGACAGCCTGGCGACCACAGGTGCACAGTGACCGCCCACGCTCTCCCCACAGGTCATCATGGAAGCCTGGGTGAAAGGCGTGAACCCCAAAGGCAACTCCACCAACCCCAGCAACTGGGACTTCAGCAGCAGTTTCTTCTTCGCAGGCACAGTGGTCACCACCATAGGTAAAGGGTCATGGGGCAGCAGGGCTCCCCGGCCCAGGCCCCTGTCTCAGTCCGGGATCCCAAAAGCAGATGCTGAGAAGAGGATGTGGTTACCCGGGAGACGATTCAGGAAGCCTAGGCAGGGAAGTGGAGAAAGAGGAAGTCAGAGGGTTGCTGGTTGGGGTGGCTGGGCTCACCTGTGGGACCTGCTGAGAGGCTAGGGAGAGCCGTCCTCAGAACAGGCCTGCAAGGGGCTGGTCACTCGGGCCCAGCTGACAGAAAGCCTCTCCTGGTGTGTTAACCTCCAGCATCCCATCCCAGCCCTGGAGCCTGCACACGCCTGGGACCAGAGAAGTCCCTMGGGCAGAGATGCAAGGACTTGAGCTGGGAGGTCATTCGCATACAGGAACTGGCCACCAAAGCGCAGTTGACATCCTGGGTGTCCCAAGAGAGCCAGTCACTGACAGCGTCTACCATACCACTCCACCAGAAACCCCCCGGCCCTCCTATCCCAGGTCTCCCCATCCATTCCATTAAGTCCACCCTCCTTGACTTTCCAAGGAAGGTGATGGGGGGGGGGGCACAAACTTGGATTGGATCCAGGCTTGGTCCTCCATCCAATAATGAAGGATAAATACAGCACAAGGCAGCACAAATCATTAGAAATGACACGAAACAGCACAGGATGCCGTGTGCAGTCAGAGGAGGGTGACAGGAGGGCTTCGCAGAAGCAGTGTCATTGGAGATGGGCTGTCAAAGACAAAYCGGATTTCTGTAAATAAAGGTCGTCCATTCCAGGGGGTGGGATGGACGAGGCTCATGGGAACAGGGGAGCTTCTGGCCCAGCAGTGACAGAAAGGCCCTGGGCGCTGTGCTAACTCTCCCATAGCTGCGCCCTCCCTCTCTGTGGCAGGATATGGGAACCTGGCCCCCAGCACAGAGGCTGGCCAGGTCTTCTGTGTCTTCTACGCCCTGGTGGGCATCCCACTCAACGTGGTCTTCCTCAACCACCTGGGCACGGGGCTGCGCGCCCACCTGGCCACCCTGGAGAGGTGGGARGACCAGCCCAGGCGCTCCCAGGTACAGTCCCCCCTCCCCTCTAGCCCCGCTGTGAAAGGTAAGTGGTGGACACTGAGAGAGGCCTTGGTGTGCAGGGCAGCAGGGACACACACCTGTGGGAGAGAGGGGGCAGCTGCAGGACCGGGCAGAGGGAAAAGCTGAATTCTGATTCCCGCTGGACAAAGGCGTGGCCTCTGGCAGGTCCACAGTGTGTGGGGGGTGCGGGAGGCACTGAGTTGACTGCAGAGTGGCTGAAGGGGCTGGGCTTCGCATCTCCAGCAGCACGGGGTGTGGCCTTCTCAGGAAGTGTGTGCCCACCAGCCAGGCTTCTCCGGGACACTGAAGTGAGCTGACAGCTGGCCAATAGTCCTTCTGTGATGGGGAACCTCTGTGGTCATCACAGAGCTCCACCAACTTTTCATGAGGTCAAAGGACGCTCTAGGCCACCCGCATGTCTCCAGAGTGCACCCCTTGGAGAGCAAGAATGCAGAGGGATCTGGGACAGTTTGGTGACAGTGCTATCCCGGATCAGAGTTCCTGGGAAGCCTGTTTGCATGTGGTCCTCATGCCTGAAGGGGTCTTCAGATCCCTCCTTGACCCACTCTCCTACCTCCTCTGCCCACCCAGCCTTCCCTGGCCTGGGCAAGATCACACACTCCCAGACACAGCCCCCTCCCAAGGTCTGCAGGGGACTAACTGTGGTCAGGCCTCCCCCCAACCCCATGCAACCCTGAAGTCTTCCAGGTGGCAGACTCCCTCTCCCCCGCTCCTGCAGGTCCTGGGCCTGGCTCTGTTCCTGATCCTGGGGACACTGGTGGTTCTCATCTTCCCGCCCATGGCCTTCAGCCGAGTGGAGGGCTGGAGCTTCRGCGAGGGCTTCTACTTTGCCTTCATCACCCTAAGCACCATCGGCTTTGGGGACTACGTTGTCGGTGAGAATGAGAGTCACAGATCTCAGGATGGGGGACCCGCTGGGATTCAGGAGATGAGAGTTATCAGCTAAGGGTATTTCCAGTCCTCAGAAGTCCCTGGTCTGGGACCCATCATGTTTCTCCAAGGACTTCATGCTGATCCCTGTTATGAGGAAGACAAGAGTGCATCCTACTTGGTGGGGAATCCCTGGGTGGAGCCTGTGCCCTCAGACACCTGCTGTCCCCTTCCCTGCAGGCACAGACCCTAGCAAGCATTACATCTCGGTGTACCGGAGCCTGGCAGCCGTCTGGATCCTCCTGGGCCTAGCGTGGCTGGCCCTGGTCCTCTCCCTGGGCCCCTTGCTTCTACACAGGTGCTCCCAGCTCTGGCTCAATGGCAGGAGCCTCAGCCTCAAGGACCGGGCAGCCCCTGACCCTCAAGGGCTCCCCAGACCTCAGAAGATGCCCATCTCTGCATGAGGTCCCCTAGTGGCGCAGCAGTCCCTCCCAGACTCCCAGCCCATGTCATCTGCCCTCTGGAGATCCTTCCCTCCTCTTCCTCTCCCAACCCCACACCTGTCCCAGCCAGGGTGGGCCCAGAGCTCTCCAGGGAGACAAGGAAACATAATGTCCACAAAAGTAACAGAGGTGACCTGGAAAACTCAAACACATTCACTGTAGCCAGGTCTTCACTGACCTCCCCACATACTCCACCCCAGGGTCCTTAGATGGACAGGAAACAGAGGGTAACTTGACTTGGGCCTCACTGGATGGGTGCACAAGGTATATTTGCCAAGCCCCCACTATGTGCTAGGTCCTGAAGTACAACTGTGAACATTCTTGCCCTCACCTGTGCCTTTAGTCTGTCTAGCAGGATAGACAACTGGACAGGCAGCCCAACACAGTGTCCAAAATGTCCCGTGGGAGCAGACCCAGGGAGGGTGAGCCCAGGAGAATGGCCGTCTTGGGTGGGGGAACACGCTGGAACCATCTTAGTGCAAACAGGAAGCTCGCAGCTGCCTCCCAAAGCTTGCCAGACCCTTTGAAGAGGGTGTCCCACCATTTTGCTGGTCATGACCTCCCCTGACCTCCAGGGTACGCCCTTGACCTGATGACCCCTCTGGTCCCCTGTCTTCCTAAAAGCCTTTCCAAGAACCCCCTGAGAAGCTAGAGGGCCAGCGGGTCCCAGGAGCCTTCCAGGACAGGCGCTCCATGGAGACCTGACCTCCGGCGGGACCATGCGCTCCAGGCCTGGCCTTTCTCCCGCTGAATTGCAACATCGCCACAGCCCAGAAGGAGACAGATTTGGGCCAGTCCATGCCAATGGCCAATCTCACCAAAGACCATAAACTCCAACCGGTACTTCTTCCATCACCCCAACAGCAAGTAGACCCCTAAGCGGCCGGGTCTCATGGGACTACAGAGGCCAAGCTGTGAGGAGAGGAAGCTCCTGGCCAGAGACCCAGGGAAGGATCGCAGCAGCAGAGGACCACAGCTTACACCCCGGGACCAGTGACATCCAAGAGAGGGTGGGAAACTGAAGACCCACCCAGGCTCTTTACCCTCCCTGGGCCCTTCCTGCTTTCTGGGTGGAGGAGGGACTTGGGAGGGGGGGGAAGAAGGCAGGACCTGGCTAAGGTCCTCTTGCCTCCAAGCTCACAGTCCAGTGGCAGTCAGTTGGAGTCCCTCTTCTTTTAAGTACACAGGGTGGTTGGTAGGAAGACTCAGGGAGAAGCTGAGAAGCAGCCAGTGCTTGAAGATGGTCCCAGGRTCCGCGGACTTAGGCAGGAGCCTTGAGACAATAAACGTGGCTTCTGCTTTCTCTTCCCCTAGAGCGGTTTCCCGTAGTCCCTCCCACCATTTGCCGCAGGAAATGCTGGGGGGCTCTGGACCCCTTCCCTCCCAGGGCCTGTGGTCACCCAGTGGCATCTCCTTTTCCCTAACCTGGATCCGGGAGTGGGCCCTCCACAGATTTTTGAAGTGCAACCAGATACCTGGGACTCAGCCTCTTATAGTCCCTGGGATCGGATCCTGGGGGTGGGGCAGGGCCGTCCCACCCCCCTGCACTCCTCTTCCCAAGGGGAAACCGGCCATTGGCGGCTGTTTTAGAGAAGGGGCCGGCCAGGCTCCGGGCCCTTCCTTTCCACCTCAGTTCCTGTCCACAGCTCCAGCCCCCGTCCTCTCCCGCCATGCACCCACCGGGAGCTCCAGCGGCGCACAAGGGCAGGGGTCGGGGCTGCGCGGTGCCGGGCACCTTGTTCCTGCTGTTCGCCTACCTGGCTTACCTGGCGCTGGGCACCGGCGTGTTCTGGGCGCTGGAGGGTCGCGCGGCTGAGGACTCCAGTCGCAACTTCCAGCGCGACAAGTGGGAGCTGTTGCAGAACTTCACGTGTCTGGATAGCCATGCGCTGGACCTGCTGATCCGGGTCAGGGGCGAGCGGGGTCGCTCCAGGCGCTGCCGGGGAGGGATCAGGGAGCGAGGGATGCACCGGTCCGGGAGGGGAGGGTCCGCTCTGGCCCGGGAAAGGAMGCATTGGGAGCATTTATCCCAAAGAGCGGCGGAGCTGCTGCACAGGGGAACCACAGGGGCGCGTGTCTGGGCTTGGSGGAGCCGGAGGGTTGGGCTCTGGCGAGAGGATCGCCGGCGCCGTGCTCCGTGTCCTCCTTGAGGGGGCGAGAGAGCGTGACTGACCCTGTGGGGAGACGCAAGCTTGGCGCACACATCCGAATTTGGGAATGAGCACTACAGAGGGCACACTTCCTTGGGTCACAAGCCACCAGGGCCGTCCAGATCCCGTCGGGAGACTGGGAGCCTTTGGTCTGTGGGCGGCAGGCTGACGGGCGGCACCCAGGTGCGCGGCCCTGGGTCCCAGTGCGGTAGGTGAAGAATGAAAGGACACACTTTGCCTCCTCCAAAGAGAGAACCTGGGTGCAAATATGCGAACTAGGGCGAGGATCCTAGGGGGCTCTGGCCTGGGTCCAAAGGTGAGCAGGACTGAGGGCACGATCCTCCGCACTTGGGGGAAAGGGGGGCCGGACAAGTTTGTCCCAGAGGGTGGGTGCCCAAGATGTGCTTGTCTAGGGCAGGGGCAACGGAGAGGAGGGCTGGAAGTGGGTAGATCCGGTTGGAGAAGTAGGGTGGACGCAGAGCGGAGCTCGCTTCATTCAGAGTCTGTAGATACCAAGGGCTGAGCGGACCAAAGGGCCAAAGTGGAAGTCGTGGGCGGAAGGAAGCAGAGGGCTCTAAGGAACAGAGGCCAGAGGATGGGGCCCCGGGGAGGCAGGGGCATCCCAGATATATGGAAATTTCTTCTGGGCATCAGGCTGGCAGCTGCTCATTTGGTGGCTGCATTAACATCCTGAGCCCCCAACTGACTCTCAATTTCCCACTCTAGGCCTCAGATAGCCTCCCAGCCTCCACCCCTCCTGTCCCATCTCCCTAAATATCCTTCCACAGGATCAATCCTACCTGACCTCAAGGGACAGCCCACCTCACCTTGAAGCCATCTGTCCCTGCCTTCACCAGAATGAACACCTTTTTTCTCTGAATTCTTTCAGCAAAATATTCTTATTAGTGTGATGATAGCAACCATTAAATTTCCCACACACCATGTCCTGTTCTTAGTCTTCAAATATGAGACCTCATTTAAGCTGGACAAGGTAGTGTGTGCCTATCATCCCAGCAACTAGGGAGGCTGAGGCAAGAGGATGATAAGTTCAAGGCCAGCCTTAGCAACTTTAGGCCTTAAGCAACTTAGCAAGACCCTGTCCAAAAAAATAAATAAATAAATAGAAGAGGAAGACTGAGGAGGTAGCTCAGTGGTAAAACACCCCTGGGTTCCATCTCAGTATCAAACTAAATAAAGAGAGAAAAACTTAATTTAACCCCTACAACAACTACTAGGAAGTAGGTACTCTGAGTATTTCCATTTTACAAACAAGGAAACTGAGGCTTAGAGGAGTTTGGTAACTTGCCCAGGATCCTGGACACTGCCTCCTTAATGCCCAAACGGCCACCGGTTGCACGAMGTCAGAGTTCATTCAGTACGTCTCTGTCCCGTGAGGGCTGAGGTCCTGTCTCTCATCCTCTGGCCCCTAAAAGCACCACGTCACGCCTGGCCGCGTGCTTCCTGCAGGAAGGGGACGAGCAAGGAGTAGGTGGATGGTTGTCCACCAGGTGGAGAGGTACCCCACCCCACCCTGACCTGGGCTGGGGGCCAAGAGAGTGAAGGAGCCATCTCCATGGTCCCTGCCTCTGGGGACCCCCAGGTTGACTGGAGGGATCGAGGCGCCTTGCCCTGGCCAGGCTGGGATGGAAGAGTGATTGTGAGGACTGTGCCTCAGAGAGCGTGTGTATTTGGGGGTGCAGGGACCCCGTCTCCCCACAGAGCCTGTTGGTCACTGCAGCCTCTCCCCCAGGACATCATCCAGTCGTACAAAGACGGGGCCCACCTGCTGAGCAACACCACCAGCATGGGGCGCTGGGAGCTCTTGGGCTCCTTCTTCTTCTCTGTGTCCACCGTCACCACCATCGGTAAGGGCAGCCTGGGGCCGGGATGGCTGGGCTGGGAGGGCGGCCTTTCCTGGAGGGCAGGGGGGCCGGTTGCCTTTGGGAAGGGCTACTAGCGCTTCACCCCTCCAAGTGCAGTGGGCCCTGCAATAGGGGTCCCCTTCCCCAGGGGCAGAAGAGCCTCGAGCGTCACCATGACCCACTGACCCCTTTCTGCATTTCGTCCAGGTCCCCAGGGGATTGTGGGGGATGTTCAAGTTTGGGAAACGGGTTCCTAGGGGACTTTCTCCCCTTTCAGCCTTCCAGGGATCAGAGCGTCTCCTGACAGGGCAGGAGAGGCCTCCGGGCACCAGGAGTGTCCAGCCCCCAGCTAGCCCACCCAACACAGCCCCAGGGGTGCATGGGAGCAGAGACCCCATGAAAGAGACTTGAGGCCCCTGTCCTGAGCCCTGCCATGGCCCCTGTCCTCCTGCCTGCAGAGGGGAGCTGTCCCTTCCCAGGGCCTTCTCCTGAGCTCTCTGGCTCAGCCCTGGTCCCCATCACCATCCTCTCCAGCCCCTTTCCTCCACCGGGGCCACCCTGGCTCCAGTCACTGAGGTGGAACTTGTCCTGGAGGGCACCTTGGGGCCATGGTGTGAAGAAGAGAAGCCCTAGGTCCTGGCCACTCTGAAACCCAATGCTGTTGCCTAGCGCCCTCTGCCCTGGGAACCAGCCCCAGCCCCTGCATGATACTGGACTTACCACTAGGTGGCAGACTGGCACCACCAGTGACTTGGGCTCCTGCCCCTGGTCCGGGTGGACCAGGAATCTGTCTCCACCACCAGCATCCCCCTCTGTCCTCCCTAGAGTGGAAGGGCAAGACCACCCAGAGGTCTCTCCATCTAGCTTTAAATAAGCCCACCCTTCTTGCAGGGGGTTAGCAGGGCTACTCAGGAACTGGGGCAGTCCTTCCCATGAGCCTGCTCCAGAGGCCCCCCCAGACTCCAGGGACCCGTGGCCCAAAGGACAGTCAGGAGGGCATTGGCGCCTCTCTGCGTCCCCGGGGCTTAGTACAAGGCCCAGCCTGCAGTGGGCACTCAGCAAACGCTGCCCGGTAAGGAGCCTCAGCAAAGATGCTCTGGAGCAGCCTGTCCTGAGTTCTGGAGCAGCAGGGCACTTGGAGGGCAGGAGAGGCCTCTGGGCACCAGGAGTCCCCATGACCAGACGTGTGGGAGCCCCAGGCCCATGACGTCAGCCTGCCCGGCTCTGCCCCTCCCAACCTGGAACACTCCTACCCCCTCCTCTCCACTCAGCTCTGCCCTGAGGCTCTCGTCCTCTCTGGGGGTGAGGAGGGCAGAGGAGGGGAGACACACACACACACACACACAGTATTCACCCAAGGTATACACCCAAGGTCCTCTTGTGCAAGGGCCAAAACCTTGGACATTCAAGAGCTCCTTCTGACCATGGAGCAGCCTCCAAGGACAGGGCTTATTTTCATGTCACAGATGAGGAAACTGAGGCACAGAGAAGTGGTGGAACTTCCTCAAGGCCACACAGGCAGAGCTGGGGTCTGACACCCAGCAGGTGGGGGAGGGGCCGCCTGGCTCTTTCCAGGGGCTTCTGTCCTCGGAGTTCACAGGACAGGGCGGGCTTTCTGAACCAGTCAGAAGCCCTGGCCCTGAACACTCACACAGAGAAAGAGACAGGAGGCGTGGGGCACTCCAGGAGAGAGAAGGCATTCTGAGAGGACGACAGTGGGCTGCCCCTGAGGCCATCCTCTCCAAGCCTAAAACTTGGGGTCTTATAATGACTGGGGGCCATTATAGATGGTGAAGCCATCAAAGGACTCACTGCCTCAGTGACATTGATGTGGAGACATGAACCAAAGGAGGAAGCAAGCTATGCAGGTATCTGAGGAAGAGCCTTCTGTCTGTGCAAAGGCCCTGAGGTAGATGTGGCTGTTGTGTTTGGGGAACACTGAGGAGGTCCAGGTGGCTGAGGAGGGTTGGAGGTGAGGCTGAGTTCAGAGGGAGTGCAGAGGAGCCCGCTAAGGCCCTCAAAGGGGGGAGAGGTGACAGGCGAGAGGTGTGCTGACGTGGGAGGTGGCTCTTGGGGAGCTGCAGTCATCCAGGGTTGAACAGTCGCATGGGGGCTATTGACACCACCAATTGCTGACCTGAGAGATGACCAAGTGAGGGGGAGAAGGGTCCATTAAATGTCAGCCTTGGAAAACTGCAGGGCCCCCCAGAACTGGCAGAATCCAGGTGCCACCATGCCATGGCTGAGAACTGAGTGACAGAACCCCAGGGCCAGAGAACAGCCCCGGGGGAGGAGGCAGAGGGGGACAGAGGCAGGGGCTGACCCCTCCCTGGATGCTGGCAGAATGAACCCCACCTTTCAGGAGAGGGACCCTCAGAAGGCCGAGAGGGGTGGAGGCTCAAGAGGAGGCCTCTGCAGACCTCAGACCAGAGCCCCGGGACGCGCACCCACACCACGGTCATTCCCACAGCACCTGGGGGACACTGAACACCTGGGGGCTCACGTCCCCCGCACAACATGCCTCCTGTTCCACCCACTGCCGTTGGGTGTTGATGTCCCCATCCTACAGGCGAGGACACAGACAGGAAGGTCTAGCCTCTTGCCCAAGACCCCGCAGCCCACCAGGGGCAGGATCGGGATTCAAACCAGGCGGCAGATCTCCCTGCAGAGCCCACATGCCAGGCTGGCACGTGCTGTGGCCCGTCCCAGTGGCCCTCAGTGACGTGAACCAGGGGTGTCCAACGGGGGGCAGCAGCGGGCACAGGGGAGCACTGCAGTGGTGTGTTACCTGGAGGCTGAGGCAGGAGGATGGCTGGAGCCCAGGGGTTCAAGGTCAGCCTGGGCAACATCACAAGAGCCTGACTCTTAAATTTTTTTTTAATTAAAAAGAAGGGTGGAGCCGTGGCCCACACCTGTGATCCCAGCAACTCGGGAGGCTGAAGCAGGAGGATCTTGAGTTCAAAGCCAGCCTCAGCAAAAGCAAGGCACTAACCAACTCCGTGAGACCCCGTCTCTAAATAAAATACAAAATAGGGCTGGGATGTGGCTCAGTGGCTGAGTGCCCCTGAGTTCAATCCCTGGTACCAAATAAAAGGGAGGGGTGGAGACAGGAGGAGGAGGAATGTCCAGGACGATGCTCTCTGGCCTCCCCCCACTCATCTCGAAGACCAGAGGTCCCGACTTCCACCTCCCCGGGGACAGCTCATGTTCCACCATCTGTCCCTCCATCGAGCTCAGGTGTGTCAGAGCTGTTCCCCTGGGAATCAAATCCAGAGGGGATGTGGTGTGCAGCAGATTGGAAGGCAGAGGTGGGGGAGCGGGGAGACCCCCATACGGCAGGTCCAAAGAGACGGGGAGGGGGATGCTCACGGGATCAGGGCCACAGACGGCAGCGGTGCTGCCCAGGGACAGTGTCAGCCAAGCGACAGAGCCTGGAGCAAGGCGGCCTGCTGAGGGAGCCCCACCCTGCCTGGCCACAGGGGCCGCAGCCTGGACGTGCAGAGGATCCCAAGGGGCAGCCCCAGGAGGCTGGGCCTTCTCCCTGCCAACCCAAGAGGCAGGAGAGAGGAGACTCCCCGCGGGCAGATGCGACCTGCCCACCTGCTCAGGTCCCCGGAGCTGCCTTGCCCCCTGTACAACGGAGCCGCCATCTCCGCTTGGAGGGGTGATCGCGGGTGCACAGAGGAGTCGGTGTCTAGGGCCCCCAACAAGTCCCGGCTGCCCACGTCTGCAGGGGCATGGAGTGAGGCCCGTGGGGACTGGGCAGGGTCAGGCTGGACACTCTCCTGAGGCAGYCCTCTCGCCCTAGGCTACGGCAATCTGAGTCCCCAGACCATGGCCGCCCGCCTCTTCTGCATCTTCTTCGCCCTGGTGGGGATCCCGCTCAACCTCGTGGTGCTCAATCGCCTGGGCCACCTCATGCAGCGGGGAGTCCACCGCTGTGTCCACCGGCTGGGGGGCACCTGGCAGGTGAGGGAGGGGCTGCTGGGGTTGGGGGACGGGTCCCTTCAGGATGGGGCACTGCGGTGGGAACCGGGGTGCCTGGTGGCGAGGGGTGGGGCCAGAGGGGACTGGAGGGGATGTGGAGGGACTGGGGGCCGCTGGCCAGAATAGGGTGTCTGGTGATCGCGGGGCAGGGACGGGGAAGGACACGGTGCCAGGAGTGTCCCCCGGYGGGGAACCTGGAGAGCACAGCCCGGGGCGGGGTCTCTGGGGGCCCCTGCTGAGTGGGGAGCAGCACTGGGCCAGCTCCCAGCTCAGACCCTGCATCCGCCGGCCGAGGCCGGCCCTGGGCAGAGGCCACAGGCSGGCGCTGTGTGCACCAGGGCCCGGCCCCCGACCGCTGGCTGGCGGGCTCCTGCGCCCTGCTGTCGGGCCTCCTGCTCTTCCTGCTGCTGCCCCCGCTGCTCTTCTCCCACATGGAGGGCTGGAGCTACCTGGAGGGCTTCTACTTCTCCTTCATCACCCTGAGCACCGTGGGCTTCGGAGACTACGTCATYGGTGAGACCCCCGGGACAGCGGGCGGGTGGCCCGGCCTTGCACACCGCCTGGTGTCCCGCGAGTGGTGGGGGTGGCTTGGAGGCCCAGGGGCACTCGACCACCGAGCCCCGTCCCCAGCCCTATTTCATATTGTATTTAGAGACAGGGTCCCACTGAGCTGCTTAGGGCCTCGCTTTTGCTGAGGCTGGCTTTGAACTCGCCGTCCTCCTGCCTCAGCCTCCTGAGTTGCTAGGCTCCCTGGGGCAGGCAGGGCTCAGCTGCCTCCTGCCCGTCTCGCTCAGGGGTCCTGAGACCCCTCCAGAGAAGCGCAGCCCGACCCCCTCCCTGCAGCCCACCTCGCCCACCCCAGCAGGGATATGGCAGCAGAGAGCCTCGGCGTCCCTCCCTGCTCTCCGTGGTCCAGCCTCCAGGASGGAGGAGGGCTGCTGCTCAAGTCCCTACTGAGCAGGGGCCACGGGCACGCTGGCCCTGGAGGGAGGAGGAGTGACAGAACCCAGCCTGGAACACTGAAGAGAGGTTTTCCCAGGCAACCCCCTGACAGCCGTCACCCCCTATTTACTGAGGAGGAAGCTGAAGCTCAGAGAGGCCAAACTATTTGCCTGGGATGCACAGCGAAATATGAGTTTTGATCTGTTTGACTCCAAACAGATCGTGCYTGTTCCAGATGGCCTCACACACCCCTCTCTGGGCCTCCRGTGTCMCTATAAAGTGAGGGACTGGCTAGRTGGCCACCAAGACCCCAACARGGCCTTCTGGCCWYWGGGTGCAAGATCCTGTTTCCTGATMTTTTCCTTCCCCAGGAAGAGGGTCCAGTGCTGGGGGCCTCATGCTGCCCCTTTGTGGTCTCCTGACCCTGGCAGCAGGGCTGTGACTCTGGGAAGAAAGCCCTGGGCAGGTCTCTTCCAGCTGAGTCRCATTCCCACTTCTACCTTCAGAGTAGAAAGACGCACGTGAGGAGAGCTGAGCCCAGGAACTCCAAAGGCCACACCTGCGCCCTTGCAGGTTCTTTAATCTGTCTTCCCTTCTCTATGTCCACGGCCATTCCGCTAGCCCAAGCAGGACTGTGGATACAACTGCACAGGCTGGGCACTGCACAAGCTTCCATGGAGTTGTATAGCCTCGATCCTTGTCTGCCTGGCTCTTGTGACATTACGTCACCTGCCCAACTCTGCTGAAAACCTTCAGTATTTCCCATAGTCTTAGGATAAAGTCCCCAAATCCACAACTAGGCCAGCAAAGGCCCTCGATGTGGGTCCAGTCTCCCCCCCACAACCCTGTGCTCTCCCCCTGCACGGGGCGGGGGACAAGGAGCAGCTGCCCCTTCCACATCTCCAGAGACGCGCTACGGAGCCTGGCTGACCCTGCAGCCCCTCGGTGCCCAGGCCGCGGGCCACGCGGTTGCCCTCTTCGCCTCCTCTGCAGACCTTCCCTGGGTGCCTGAGACACTGGAGCCCAGGGAAGGGCAGGGAGACGGCCCCGGGGCAGGCAAGGCAGCGCAGACCGAGTGAGGCTCCCACCCGGCACCTCACACCACGCGTGTTCCGGAACCTTCCATGCCTCTTCCCCAAATCTCAGCTCTCCTCGTCCTCCAGGGCTGGGGTCCACCCTTGTCCCTGGGTCAGCAGCCACAGGACCTTGGCTTCACAGCCAGCCCTGCGCCCGCCTCCAACGTCGCATCTGCACTGGGTTGAGCGCATGCCAGCTGCCAGGTCTCCTGCGACGACTGCAGCTAAAGAAAAAAAATGAAATAAAGGTGGAGGAGGGTGCCTCCCACCCCGGTGCCCGAGCAGAGCTGGCGGAGGGAGGCCGGAGCTGATCTCATTTGGGGCCGCAGCGGAATCAGCCCGTAACCCAATCAGCCTAATCCAATCCTGCTCTGCCCGCTGCCGGGAGCGCTGGGCTGCAGCCCCGGTGCCACGCCGGGTCCAGAGAGGTGCCCGCCGTGGGGACCAGCTGGGTCTGACTTGGAGCCAGCAGGGGGATGGGGTGGACAGGAGCTAGGACAGAGAGGCCATGGAGGGACTTGGAGGGCAGGCCCCCACCCCGTGACCCTGTGAGTGGCCGTCTGATGGGGACACCCAGGAAGCAGAAGGCGGAGGGGAGTCACCCACGTCCACCATCACAGACAGGGAACAGCAGGYCCAGCAAAGGCCCGTGGGCCGCAAGGATGGCAGGGGCCAGTCTGCTCCCTGGGCAGGACACTCCAGGACGGGCAGGGCGCCAGGAGCCTGGCTGCGGGGTCACCAAGTCCCCAAGCCCGGCCCAGGGGACAGAGCAGAGGGTGCTGGAGAGGAGGGCGGGGCCTGGGGACCAGGACCAGGACTTCATCCTAAAAGCCAGAGAGAGGTCATCACCTGGGGTCACAGGGAAGCCACTCGGTGGCCAGGACAGAGGCAGCTCCGTAACCACACACGGAGATGAGCGCAAGGAAGTCCCCTGGGCCAAGGGAGTCCCCTGGAGGTCACAGCTACCTACAGCTGCTGATCGGGAAGGGCAGGGGTGGCCCCATGTCTGACCAGGTCTCCGGGGAGCTGGGGCCGGTGACACACCTTGAGAAGCGCAGGGACGGGACCTAGACACGTCCCTAGGGAAGACAGAGGGAGGCCAGCTTCCAGGGGCCCACCCCAGGGGGCTCCTGAACCCTCGGGTGGGACACAGGCCTGGAATCTCAGGTCGATGCCTCGGGCTCCCGTCTCTGGGACCGTGGTCCTGACTTCCCAGGCCCCCGCCGATGACCTTACTCCTCCCCAGGGATGGACCCCTCCCGGAGATACCCCCTGTGGTACAAGAACATCGTGTCGCTCTGGATCCTCTTTGGGATGGCGTGGCTGGCCCTGATCATCAAACTGATCCTCTCGCTTCTGGAGACCCCAGGGGGGACCTGCTCCTGCCACCACCACTGCTCCAAGGGGGACCGCAAGCCCGGAAGCTGCAGGCAGGGCCCAGTCGGGGGGCCCCAGGCCCACCCCCCTCAGCTGGGAATCACACAGCGTCTCGAGCCCTCTGCCCAGGCTGTGCACTGTGGTGAGGACAGCTAGTCACACTCCCGTGTCTGCGGGGTCTTCCTCCTCAGTGACCGGACGGACCTCTGACTTGAAGCATGACCTATGACCATCCAGACGAAAGACTATGTTTTCAGTCTTCCCTTGAGGCTAGGTGCAGCCATCTGATTAAATTCCACCCCACAGGACAGACAGAGAAGTATCCTGTGTGACTCTGGAGATGGAGCACGCCCCTCTTCCCCCACTTCCTTCCTTTAGCTGACTGTAATGCTCATCTGGGTGGCTGGCACTCAGGCAGCCACATTGTACCACGAAGTACAGAAGCCACGTTTGAGATGGGTGGCACAGTCACAGAAGGAGCCTGGGTCCTGGATGACCACAGAGCCATCATAATAAACCTGGGATGAACACCACTTGACTTCATTTATGTGAGAGACAAATAAATGTCTTATTTTAAACCATGATGTGGGTTTTTCTGTCACTCACATAYTAATTCTAACTGAAACACACACTGGGCAAAGAGCGTATCTGAGACTGGAGGCTCTGAGGGGAGAAGCCATTAAGTCCACTAAGGCTCTGCCTATTATTCCCAGGGCCATGCAGCCAGCAGGTGGCCAGTCCCAGCTCAGCTGCCGGATCCTGGCACGGAGAAGCCAGAGGCCAGCGGAGTTTAGCCTCTTCGGCTAAACTCTCTCTCCCCCAACAAGCCCTCTGCCCTGGTGCCCACCGGGCCCTCGTGCTCAGAAGTGCGTGCCCCAGCCTGGCACCTGACACATGCCTGCCACCCTAGCTTTTAGGGAGGCTGAGGCAGGAGGACCTCAGTTTGAGGCCAGCCTCAGCCACTTAGTGAGACACTGTCTCAAAAAAATAAAAAGAGCTGGGAACATAACTCAGTGGTAGAGGCCCCTAGTTTCAATCCCTAGTATCCCCCCAAAAAAAGCTTGGCCCAGAGGGAACCCACCTGGGGCGCTGGGAGGTGGCCGGGAGAAGGCCTCTCATTGGCCGATTCCTGGCAGATGATTATTCCTCAATGAGAAGAGAGCAGGCTGGGACGGGAGGCTGGGACCTGGGGAAGGCGCAGGAACAGAAACTGTGACCGCAGGACTCCAAGGACAGCCAGGCCTCGCCCAGGGCACAGGGAGGGAGGGCAGGAGAGGTGACACAGACAGGCCCCCTTCGTCCCCACCGTCCCCGCCGTCTGGTCAGTGAGCTGCGGCTGCAGAGCCCAGATGCCGCACGGGCTGCTGACCTGCTGCTGTGGCGGCCCTGCTGACCCCTAGGGCCAGTGGAGGGGGGSGGGTGATGAGCTCACGCTGCAGGATGGGGCCCTGCCCTCCGGGGCTCCCAGGCGGATCCCAGCGGCCGCCGGCCAGGACGAGGGGTCTGGACAGGCTGAGTCACTCACAGGCAGCGTCACGCGAACTGGGGGCCACTCTGCTGCTTCCCCCATCAACGCTGGGGAAAGAACTCCTCGGCCATCGCTATCTGCAGGTGGGGAGGAGGACATCTTGGAAGATGTTAGGACCAAAGGTGGCCCCGGTCCCTGTGGGACCCCGTGCAGGTGAGCTCCCTGGTCACCCTGTGTGGYCCTGACCAGCCACTTCCCATCTGCACCTGCTGGCTCACCTGTGGGACTTCAGGTCTGGATCTGGGCACAGAAGGTCCCTGGCCTCTGCCTCCTGGTCTCCCACGCTGAAGGCCCAGCCAGGGAAGGGTCTCCATCCTGGCAGGGCCTGACCAGAGGACAACTGGCCTCGGCGGAAACCAGAGACTCGGAAGTCAAACACAACAGCTCTGCTCTGACTCCACACGTCCCTGTCCCCTGGGCCCTKACATCACCAGGACCCCGCCCTGGGCTCCAGGCCCGGGCAGCACTGCCTGAAGTCGCCCATGACCTCCACCCRCCCCAGCCTCACCCAGTGCTGCACCCCCCCAGGCCTCTGCCCCCACAGGCCTCCCTGCTCTGCCCCCCAACCAGGGCTGGGTCCTGCACCTCCTAACCTCCTGCGCCCTTTGCCGCCAAAACTCTCCCCCAGTAAAAATTGTGCCTTGAGGCCAAGGAGACAGCCACCAGCAGCCCCTAGGGCCTTCCAGCCGGTCCCTCTCTCTGTGCCCCGAATCCCAGCGCTTGCCTCGTCCAACCTGTGGGGACCCATATCATCACAGGGCCCAGTGGCCAGTGTCCAACCAGAGCTGGACACCTCCACAGTGTCCAGAAGTAGGAAAACAAAAACTAAGCCAACCCCCTCCTGCAGCCACCAAAGAGCCCCGGCCACCGTTGGCCCTGGGGCAGCAACGCTGCTCAGCCCCTGCCCACACTCCAGCCTCTCCACATCCTCTGCRTCTTCCTAGACCAACTTTTACTACACTTATTCTTGCCTGGACTCAGGCAGGTAGGAGTCTGTATCCTGACTATCACCAGCTTACTGTGCAACGTTCGAGAAGTAGCACAACTTCTCTGAGCCTCAGGCTCTCCATCTGCAAAATGGAAATCCTGATACCAACCTAGGATTGTTTTGATGAGTGTGGGGGTGTGGGTAACAGATGAGAAGGTAACTATATTATACCTAGTATATAATAAGGATCACAAATATTTGTCTCCCCTCCCTTTCTCTTCTTGGACTCAAATTTCCCTCCTCCCTCCCTCCCTTCCTTCCTTCCTTCCATACTGAGATTCAACCAGGAGATCTTACCACTGAGCCATACCCCAAGCCCTTTTTTTTTTTTTTTTTTGTGAATGGGGGTCTTGCTAAATTGTTGAGGCTGGCCTCAAACTTGCCATCCTCCTGCCTCAGCCTCCTGAGTTGCTGGGATTATAGGTGGCACCTGGYGCCATCCTCCAACTCCCTTTCTTTAGGAAGCCTGTGAAGCCCATTTGCACGCCTTTCTCCAATTAGTCCTCCTGGACCTGCCTGCCCTTTGACCTCCGCTGGACTTGAGAGAYGGGAAGTGAGGCTGAGGTGGAGGGAAGCTCAGGGGAGGCAAGGAGGCCGCCTGCAACATGGAAGGGAAGGTTAGGGTGTGTCTTGGAGAGAGCAGCTCCCAACCAGCCCACCGGCCAAGGCTCTAGCTCCAGGTGTGGTGGAGCTCCGAGGGGTGTGGAACGGTCAGCTCTGCTCTCTGGTTTTGCACTCGGTGGCTCCCTCCCCCCACCCACTGTCTGACCTTCTCAGAACCCCTGAGTCCCTGGGGTGGGACASAGGAGAGACAGGGCTGACCCCTCAAACTGTCACCCACGCTCCTCTGGTCTTTGGTTTCCAGTTGGATTCAGACTGAGAGGATCAGGAGAACAAGTGTAGGAAGTGTACGTCTTTAAGATAGAAGCTTTAAAAAACATTAGATCCAGCTGGTGTTCTCCAAAAGGTTGCAGGGTGATTTTAGGCTTATAAAAATAACATCTTGGAGATTTCTTTATATCATTTGATTTTCTATAACTGGACCTGTTATCAATAAGATTAATAGAAAGTTCTATACACTGGGTTCAATTTAAGTGTAATCTCATATTGTGTTAGCTAGTATTCATGTGACCTCAAACAACAACATATGTAGACTTTATAAAATGATATTTAAAAGAAAGATCAGCTTCAATACTGGAACACTTTACCTAAGATTTATAAAGAGCCCCGCCTTACCTAAGAGAAGGCTGTGTTTCCCATCTCACTACATGTCAGAGTGACTCCAAAGTAGGCCAGACTTCAGCTAAAGCCCAGTACTCTTCATTGAAGACTGGTGAGACTGACTTTGCTAGATGTTTAAGGTCAATACTTAAAATTAAATTAAAAGGGCCAAGAAAACCAAGATTTGGCTCTGGCCCTCTGAGTCAGTCTGAATCCAGGGGACTTCTCTCAAGAGCTTTGTAACTCTGGGCCACATAACCTCCTGATCAGGGAGATTAATGAGGCCACTAGAGGACAGAAAGCCAATCAGTGCATTTGCTATGAAGAGGAGGATCACTGGAGAAGGGAGACATCCCTGATGCTTCCAAGGGAAGCCACATGGTCAAGCAAGACCTGGACCCATCCTAGTGCAAATGGCACTGGCAGAACTGAGAAGCTGCTGTAAAGTTCCTCCAGGAGTGATCCCTATGGGAACTCGGCTGACTCTTAACAATAGATAGAAACAAAGTCAATTTTGACCAGCTTGATCTTAAACACCTACCAAAACCAGTTAAGCCAAAACAGTCATTCCTGGGGGTAATGAAGGACAAAGAACAGCTAGAAAAGAGGAGACAGCAACTAGCCAACAGTCTTCATGGGGAACGTTCAGTCAAGTATGGCCTTGGCTCCTCCCCCTCACAGGACCCCTATTAGTCCTCTTTATGCTTCTCCTAATAGGACCACTAATAGGACCACRTCTGTTAAATTGCCTACAGAAGTTCCTGCAAGATCAGATATATAGATTCACCATCCAGTCAGTCAATCAACTGCTTCTTTAAGACTACCAGCCCTGGTGCCCAAGATGGAGACCTATGACTCATGACCAACTCCTCTGGTTCCAGAGACTCTGTGCCCATCTAAAACCCTCTCTAACCTTTTTTTCAGTTTTCACAACCCCTCTTTCACTTCTAGGAATGAGAACTACTCTCCAGCAGGTCCACCTGCTTGTTCTGTCTGCTCTACAGCATCCCCACAAGGAAGCATCAAACCTAAACTCCCCACACCTCAGATGAGGAGCCACTAGCCAGGCGAAGACTGGTAGATCAACTTCACTCATGTGCCTAGGCACAAAAAGCTTCGCTACCTACTTACTTTGGTTGATACTTTTTCAGGTTGGATAGAAGCCTTCCCTACMTCCTGGGAAACTGCTGACACTGTTGCCTCCATCCTCATTGAGCAGATCATTCCCAGGTTCGAACTTCCCGCCTCCATCCAGTCAGACAACAGTCTGGCCTTCACTTCTCAGGTTGTTCAGCTAGTCTCCAAAGGCCTCAACATCACTTGGAGGCTCCACATCTCCTACCAACCCCAATCCTTGGGTAAGGTTGAGGGGCGTAACGGCATTCTCAAGGATCATCTCACTAAACTTGCTATTGAACT